ATAACCCAGGCAAGATGAGATTCCTTTAGTAGAAAACCTTTCACTAGAGAAAAGCTGATAACACAGATAGGTTATCACATTTTGTTACTGCAAATGTTAAATGTTATCATGCAAATAAATGTTAAACTGCTAAAACTTTATAACTGTTTTGATTTACCTACATAGTCAGCAAGATAGGTGTCTACTACAAAATGACTTTGGGGTGGAGTGATACATATTCCCCTCAGAGTAAATTCCATCAATTTTTGTGTGGGAGTTATTTTAAACAAGCAAGTGACTGGACACACACAAGTGATCTTGAGAAAATGTAAACATAGATCTCCCCCTTCTGACTAGTTCCTGACTTACTCTTTATTAATACAGCTCAGTGGCTTCCTAAAAAACCCAAAACCTTCTTTATTTACAGTACATGGATAGCATCTAATGGTTTCTCTAATTTTCAAATAATAACTGTACCTCAAATGGTGGAATATTTTAGCTTTGTTTATTTAATTTAGCCAATTAGAAATGTATTTTACTTCCAAATATATATTCCAAACAATCAAGGAAAATACTTGGATTGGGCTTTGGCCAGAAACCTAAATGAAAAGCTTGAACAAAACTTTTTTTAAATAAACGTATCCCAGACTGGAACTAAATAATTGCCATTCACTTGCCAGAATAGTCTCATCTGCATTATATCTTCTCCTTTTTTCTTTTTCTTTTTTAAATCCCAAGCACCTTTCCTAATCTGGTGCATTTGTGGTACTAGAACTTCCAAAACCTCTAAGGAATATATCCAATGATTGACGTTTATGGGACTAATTGCTGACAGGCTCCATATCAAGAAGTACCAATCTCGTGATACGAAATATGTGCCCCAATTTTTCACCTATAATTTCTCCTGATTCCTGCTTGTTTTTATTGTTTTGGTTGTTTTGGAATAACAGTATACACTAAAGCATCTAATAAATTGACCCCATGCTGGAAGGCCTGATTAAACAAAATTGAGCAGATTTTGTTTCTCAGAATAGTCTTTCCTGTTTAATCCCATTTATACAAAGCAGGGATGACCTTTATAATTCCCTCAAGAGTTGTTAGGGTTTAACTACTAATTTCTGATTTCCTGACTGGATCCAGACCACTAGAGATACAACATTTTCATTGATTGGAGAAAGCAGCAATTCTTCTCTTCAAAAGAGGCTGACTTTTAATTATTTTCCACACTCTGTAACATTGAAGATATGTGATGAGATTAAGGAGTAAGAAGAGAGTGAATGGGAGTAGGAATGAGACTCCATAGGAACATCTAAGCAGGAGGCCCAGAAGATCTGCCTTGAGCCATTTTCTCTATAGTGAATCTGTGATGAAGTCCAAGGCCTTATTCAAGGAGGTGCCACATAATTAATTTAACTAAGTTCTGTCTGTTGTCTCCCTTTATTTCCCCTATATATACTTTATTTTCAACTTTGTCAATAAACTCCTTATTGTATCTAGCAGTTTGGCTTTGTTGGATTTATAAGTCAATATCTTGTGTTCTTTTAGGCCTTGGGCCATGGTGGTTGGAGCAGCTTGCTGGATATTGGGGGTATACATTCTGTGTGCCCAGCCAGATTTGACATCTTATACTATTTCCTCTTTTCTAGTGGTTCTTGCTTTGTTTGGTTTTATTCGTGTCTTAGTTTTTAATTCTGTTCATTGTATTGTGAGCTGTATGGAGGTATCCTGGATTTGAGCAGTGCTACATCAAATAAAATAAATAATGAATTACAATTTCCTAACTACTCCTTGTATTTCAGAATTACCATTAGTTTTGTTAAAGTAGAAATACCAAATATTTAATTTCTGTTTTCTTACAGCTGAAGGGAGAAGTCATTGGCAGAAAGAATAAGAATGTCCCAAACAGGCTAGGTGGTTCAGAAGAATTGTTATTTTACAGAAAACCCTCATAATCTTTCACAACACCTCAGAATAAATTACTGTATTTTGGTTTCATTCCATTTTGAAAATATGGAAAATTGTGGAACAGTTGATCATCGGCTTAACTTGGTTTAAAACAAAATAAAGAAAAAAAATCCATGACAAATCAGAAGCACGCAGAGAACATCCTATCCATAGCCATGATACAACCCTACATTATAAAATAACATTGCCACTGTATGGGTTTCAAAAGATTACCCATTCCTAGTTTGAACTGAATTTTTTTTAAAGATAAGATAACCTTTATTGTCATTTTTTACTGTGAGCACACTGGCACACATTAAAAATAAAATTCTGTTGCCTGCTCTCAAAACAAAGTATATATCTACCCATATACATACATAATAGTTGTATACACATATTATATACATACATATATACCTAAACTTGAGAGTTCACAAGGTTGATACTATATGGAATCGAACTGTGACTGAATCTAGATGTTCTGCTTCGGATACCACGAAGCTCTTCCCAGAAGGTAACAAGGAAAACAGGTCATGAAGAGGATGTGCAGCATCCCAGACAATCCTGCGGACCCTGCTCAAGCATTGCTTATATGCTATGTCCTGGATAGAAGGAAGTGAACTACCAATAATCTTTTCTGCCATCCTCACCACTCTCTGTATTGCCTTCCAGTATGAAGCAGTAATGCTTCCAAACCAGACAATAATGCCATATGACAGGATGTTCTTGATTGTCCCTGTATAGAAAGTGGTAAGGACAGTGACGCAGAAAATACA